AATAATTCCCAGAAAAATAGCAGAACGTGATCCAAAACTACCAAAACTTGATACTTTATCTGAATGGATCAAAGCTCTAAGGTCATGCATAGATAAGCGCATTCACAATTTTCTACTTACAGTGAACACATGGGTTTTTAATCGTTTCAAATAGCTCAAGATTGTGGAAGCGTTATCTTTTCTTCACAACAAATACGTTTCAGCAGACAAAGTCTCTAACACTATTGTTTTGTATGCAAAAATGATATTGCAAACCTGCCCTTCGCTCTTTGATTTTGAGAAAAAAAAAGACAATGAAAATCTCGGATTTTTATTCTGGTTACCTTAACATAAAACAATCTTATATCCATTTTTTTTAAAATTTACCTGTGACGTTACTTTTTGTGGCGTTGATCCATTCGTGTTACAGACACACACTTCGCAATTCTATTAAGCTGTTTTTGTGTACTGTACTAATTAATTTTATTTATTCGTTGTTATTCTGTGGTTAACATGTCGAAATGTACTATTATATTATTTATTTATGTATTTATCTGTCTTTGGTGTTCTTGCATGATTTTGTACTGTATTCCCGCCATGTAATCTTGTCATTTTCGCGGTGTATTTAACATGACCATAAAGCGCGGAGGTTTGGCTAGCCACAAAACCAGGTTCAACCCACCATTTTTTTCTTAAAATGTCCTGTACCAAGTCAGGAATATGGCAGTTGTTATCTAATAGTTCGTTTCTATGTATGTTGCATTGTTGTTTGTTTTTTGTTGCACTTATGTGTTCTGTTATTTCGTTGTTTTCCTCATAGTTGATGTGTTTCCCTCGGTTTTAGTTTGTAACCCGGATTTGTTTTCTCTCAATCGATTTATGATTTTTGAACAGCGGTATACTACTGTTGCCTTTATTTACGAAGAACGAATTATAACGGGTGTGTCAAAATGTTCGACTTAACATATTTCTAAAGTTCTTTCAACGTTTTTCTCTACAACGGATACTAATTGTGCAATCCTACTGGACGACCTGTATTTTCACTCATATATATCAATGAGTGCTTGCATCCTATATATTCTAGGACACTACTAAAACTATGGCAATATGAATCTGTTATTATCTCAAAATCAACTACTGTAAAGTATCATGCTTTGAAATTTTGCAAGGGCTTAAAATGACTAGAAACGTATATATCAATGAAATTCATATTTGATAGAATAGAGAATGGGGAATGTTTTAAGTGTTATCTTATACAAGTGCATGTGTTCAGCAGAAATTGATAAAATAAAGTCTCGTCTAATGTATACTATACTGCATGGTAAATTGAAGATAATTAGGTAGGTAGAAACTTTCCCATATTTGTATTGTTTTTTTTTGGTTTCATTATTTTTCAAGAATATTTCATCAAGCGTGTAGTTTATTTCTCCCGACCAGGGAACTACGCATAATTACTTAACCTAATATGTCTGTCTCGACAATTAATGATACCTGCGGATCGTCATCTCTGCCGGTACACAGTATTGTCTTAAGGAATCTACAAGCCCGGTAGTTAAACTGCATATTACTTTTCGGGATTTGAATATCGGTAAACTATTGTCGCCTTTATTTATAATAACACCTTTTATTTGAGGCATTCATTGTAATACAGCTGTTTATAATAACTTCAAATCCTCATTCCTCGACTATATTGTGGGTTTTATCTGTATTAATATTGTTGGTGTTATAGCTGAACTCCGAACACTACTTGTCTACTTATGAAGATGAGGCATGCTTACATTGTTGTGATAATTGACCATTATGACTTTATAAGCTGTAAACAAATACGTTGATGCCAAAATGTGGAAATGCAATTAAGAGGAAACGATACAGTTTCAGGGGAGGTAATGACGTTGCTAGCTTGATCCTTAGCTTGAAAACGAATAAATGGACCCCTCTTTTTGAAATAACATTTGACTTGACACTGAATGAAGATTGTTTGTTCCAATTTTCATGAGAAAAAGTCAACGATGATTTTTTTTAAAAATATACTAAAATCATGAATTATTAATGAAATTACACGAGAGGAACAAAAGATACTAAAGGGGCATTCAAACCCATAAGTCGAAAATAAACTAACAACGCTATGGCTAAAAAAGAAAAGAACAACAAACAAACAATAGAACAATAAACACAACATAGAAAACAAAAGACTGAGCAACACCAACCGCACTAAAAACTGGAGTTGATCACAGGTGCTCCGGAAGGGTAAGCAGATTCTGCTCCACACGTGACATCTGTCGTGTTGCTCATGTTAGTACAACCCCGGTAATAATTAAGTCTAATTCAAAAGCACAAATTAAGAGCATACTGCATTATAATAGATATTCCAAGTCCTTTGACAAAAATCCGCATGTGTTGATCTTTAAAAAAAAGTTTAGTATGTCTGTCCAAAGGATAGAAATGCCCAAGAAACCAAAATTTTAAGGAAATGTCTAAAATTTTGACCACATTTTATCAATAAATTTAGCACACGAAGGTATATTTTGTTATTACATATTTGAATTAAATAAGTGAACAATAGCTTGTATGGAACTTTTCGTAAAGAAATCACCACCAACACTGTATCATATGCCCTTAACTTTGAAATTTTATTTAGACACACTTATAAACAGTTATATTTGAATGATATTAACTGCACATGCTTTCTATAGTAAGACAAAGATCGTGGAAAGTTAACTAAAAAATGCATACTTTGATTAATTATTCTTTTCTAGATCGACAGTTTTGGAATAATGCATTTTAACTTTTAAACTTAGAGGTTTTTTATTACATGTAATATTTTAAGGGGCATTAAATGTCAACTTCATGTTTATCAGTTTGACTCAAATAGTCATATGTGATTTATAACATACTAAAACCTATATTCAAATTATAAAAAGTCCAAAAATAACAATTTACGATGCATAGACTCGAATCATATTTATTGTTGATATCTTTACGGTGACATGAAGCTGCTTATATCTTAATCACTAGTATTTCGTTTTCGGTGGATAGTTGTCCCTTAGTAACTATACCACATATTCTTATATTTAATATTTATCATTTGAAAATTTTACCCATTGTTGTAATTTAATTGATTGTAGCGTATGTTATCTGAATAAGATCGTACATGAATGCTTTATTCTACGTAGGTGTTATTTACAATCATCTCATTTTCTAATAAACCTTTTAAAACATGAATTATAATGATACATATTTGTATACCAGAATTCCTTTTTTGGTCATTCACAGAGGAATAATAAACCTACTCGACAATCGCTTTCATCCTCCATGGGACTTATTGACAATGCTATTCATTGCTAAATACATTTGCGAATGTGCGAAGCAAGAGGGTTGTATCTGAGTCTGCCCTGAAAATCATTAAATGTGTGCTTATTATTGTTTTTGTTTTGTTGGGCAAATTGGTTTTCACCCCTTAGCCACGTACCTTACTATCAGTTACTTGTATATATAGTTTAGGTCGTACGTTAATTGAGATAATTGAACATTATAACTAGATGATGAAAATACCAACGTGGGTATCCGGAATGTGTTCGATATTTTCCCTTGCCAAGTTTATATATTTACCCATTGTGTTTCATTGCCAATGCGTTGTCATTTTATTTTCGACTTAGGACTTTGAATGTCCTTTTAGTATCTTTCGTCTGTCTTCTATACTTTTCCCGACTCATTCGGTATTCAAGAGCTTACAATTGCTACACAAACTTTTAACATGTCACAAGTGTCGAGCAGAAAGTTGATGAACCAGCGTTATGTATAAGAACATTTCGTTCGTTTTGAATAAAGTTCACTGGAGGATATAAAGATCTGTTTATAAAGATTCCAGGTTAACTTTATAAATAAGATATGATGGTCTTGAAGTATAAATTCTAGGTACTGACCATGTTTATTATCTTACGTACGTGTTAAAGTGTTTTTTTTATTTGTCCTTGTAAAATTTTAACCTTTCATGTTTGGTCAATTTTTGGTAATATCGTTTTGGCGTTGCTGGGTACATATGCATCCCGCCAATGTTTTGTTGTGCTTTGGTGATTTTTTGCTTTCCTGGGTTTTTAATGGCTGATTTGCTTTGTCCATATGCCATTTTGTTTTTCTTTGACAACATATTTGTTTTTTTTTTATAGTGATTAATATCATAACACAATGTTCACCTCTGTACCACTATTTTTGACGTTATTTAAAGCTCAGACACATCAAATAAATGGAAAACAACTGCCATATTTCTGACTTGGTACAACGCATTTCCTTATATAGAAAATAGTGGATTAAACCTGGTATCATAGCTAGCTAAACCTCTCACTGGTATGCCAGTCGCATAAAATTCCATGTTATTTCAACAACAATGTGACAACAAAACAACAGACATAAAAGGTAAAAATCACTTCGTACAAAAAGAAATTTGACTTATGAAGAAACAACGATAACAAAAGGCTTCACAGAAACTAGACTTTGAGCATCACGTATATATCAAAACAACCGGAAAGCTAAGCAATTTATGCCCAACTAGTGGCACCTGAAGTTTTAACTCATTACATGTATAATGCAGTATTAAGTCGCATTGGAAAAGAAAACAAGATTGTTTTAAGGAAAAGAGTGGAAAATAACCGTGATTATATGTGGTACAGATATTTCATAGCGGCAAATCAATCAAGATGTAAACGATTCTTGGGGGCAAGTCTAATTATGTATTCGATGTTTCACACCCATGTTAATTCAATGTTTACTATGACATAGCTCATTCGGTACAATTTCGCAGAAAGAATGAAAACAACATTTTAAGGATGGTTACCGAGTTACAGCTGTACGATGGGGAATTGACAGTCAAAATTTTGGTTTTTACCATCAAATCCGAAATTTTATGGTAACAACCATTCAAATACAGTACTGCTATCCCTATTCTAATGTAAAACTCGTAAAATGTTAAAAATAAAACAGTTCTATCAATTATCTTTAAAAGAAATTATCACAAAAGTATCCAGAATATGTTCACATTAAACAACACAAACAAAATCAATAACTAAAATAAGTTAAAATTTGTAAGATAAACTAGCTTTGTTTTCAAAGACCACATATGGTTCCGAATCCACACTTTCCACCACAGACGTCAAACTTTGAAACCCCGATCCCCTAAAATGCTTCCTCCAGTCGGTTTCGAAATTGACACGCATACGTATGTAGTCATCAAATTTGGAGCTTTCTTTCACAATTCTGTCGTAGTCCGTATTGGTCATTTTAAACACAACCCAAGTGCAATCGATGATGGCGATAAAGTGATCATAGCGTCCTTTCAATACAATTCCTCGGAAAGAATGGAAGTAACCACGTTGTTTTGAGGGAGATGAAGATGACGGATACCCACTATTACTACCATACGGGCCATACGTACGACCATAATTAGTAAAGAATGATATACTATCGGTTAGCATACCACTCCTAAGATTTATACCTGTTATGACTTCATCCTCATCAAGTTCAAATTCATGTTCCGATAAGATGGAATGTCGTGCTTTTGGTCGGATACCATGAAGTACACTTGTTCTACTTTTATACTCCACTCGTATTCCTCCAATTGCAATAAATCCTTCCCATCTTGTAACCCATAACCCTACCTTTTTCGGGCGATCGTTAATAGACGGGACGTTCTCAAAACATTTTACGAAATTTAAGTGATCTGGTACTTCGAGATAAGACATGCAACTTTCTAAAATTTTCGAGGAATTTGAAAATTTCCTTTCTTTGAGATCGCTCGTTTGCAAAGTTGTAAAGGTGGATCTATCAATGGTATGGAATGCAGGATAAATATCATATATAGAACTCAGATCATCTTCGGGAATTTCCGAAAACAGAATAGCACTAAGAATATGTTTGACAGTTGACATATCATAAACCTGATTAGCTGTTAATGTTTTACCAACAGCATCGAGGATATTGAGTTCTGGATTGTCGACTGGAATTCCATTCCGAAAAGCAGAGAGATTTCTATTCCTCAATAGGAACTTGAAATCGTCATTAGAAAGACTGCTGAACGAATTTTGCTCAACACATGTATAAAAATTTTCAGATATCCATAAGACTATAGTATCGATCAAAGTGCTGAGATAGAATAGAATTGCAATAGGAAGAAGAGAAACGGCACTTGAGCGATCGATGCTGTTTATCAAGAACTTCTCACACTCGTCTATGATGAGTTTGGCTTGAAGATAGGAAGCTGTTGCTATCAAACTATGTACGCTGTAACTACTTATTTCCAGAAACCCAGTATATGCAAAGTTAATGACTTGGCACAACGCCTCAGAGAACACAAATTCTTTGTTTAGAATACATTTTCGTGTTTGAAATCTATTAAAATTTAAACTGGCCGTAAAGTAATCAGAAATGTTTGACAAAACACAACAATGTGCCTTGGTTTGAAATTCACCACATCTTATTTCTATATCACAGTTCTTTTGTTTCTTCCATTCACTTATTCTTTCTTCCTCGACGGTTAAGGTCAGACGCGTTTTGATAACAGCACTTTTATTAATTGACTTTCTGCAAGAGAATGAAAAACAAGAATATGAAAAACAATAAATAAATGACACAACACACATTGGACACTCTTAATTTTATGTACAATTTGATATGAACATCCTACACTGTAAATATATATATATGTCCAATATATATAGATGGCCGAAAGTTTGCAAATTTGAACTCACATATCAGTATTGTCTTTGGATTTTTCCAGGAAACTTCTGTTTGAAAAAAACAAAATCACAAAAATACTGAACTCCCAGGAAAATTCAAAACGGAAAGTCCCTAATCAAATGGCAAAATATAAAGCTCAAAAACAGCAAACGAATGGATAACAACTGTTATATTCCTGACTTGGTACAGGCATTTTCTTATGTAGAAAAATGGTGGATTGAAGTTCCGTTATATGGGACAATTCTTCTATCTGAGAACGAACTGCTTTGATACTCGTTGCTACTTGCCATTCTTCATCGAATAGTGTTGGAAAAATCCTTAAACAAACAATTATGTGTCTGATCATTTTTATTTGTTATTCTTTAAAATTTAACGTCTTTCAATTTTGTTAAAAAAATAACTGAACGGAATATCGTTAAATAAACACACCAACACCAATAAAGCCCTAATTAAGCTTGTTTTGATACTCTGTTATATTCGTGCAGTTTTCTCATTTTGAGAAATCCATCGAAACACTGAAGATTTTCTACACCTATCCCCTCCCGCATAAATGACTTTAGCACAAATTTTCAGAATTATTGGTTTCAATGAACAGCAATAACGTAATTGATTAGAATCCTACAGTTTTATAGTCGAATATCATTGATGAGTCTTATGTAAGCGAAAATAAAGTCTGAGATACTAATTTAGCATCTGGTATCTTTAATGAGTTTAACAAATAACCGTTTGCTGTTTGTCTGTATTAATTATAATTTCAGTATTTAAATGCTGTATGTTTATACATATCCTTATCGCATTTGTTTGAAGGCTAAACACTAAAACATCCGATATAGAAGTACTGTGGATTCATTATTATTCGTTGGATACCAATTTCGTTGGTTTTCGTGGGTACAAGTGCATACTAAATACAAATTTCTGTAAGGATGTATGCAGACTTTGTAAAAAAAAAGACATCACGTATCCACGAAAAGTCAAGTTTTCCACAATCCACGAAAATTGGTACCAACGAAACTAAATGAATCCACAGTATATGACACTTCTATCTGATTATCAGTAGCATTAGCGATTCAGGCAGATTTATTCTTTACATTTTACCTTACGTTCCGTATCAATTCTTGAATCTGTAATACCCAAGATTTATGTAGACGAAATGCGCTTGATGAATTACGTCCTTTCAGAAGGTTACAGTGGGAAATGTAGTGTAAAAATATTACCTCCCCTGTAAACACTATGACCTTGATCTTTACAATTCTTGTCCCGTTTTAGCAAGGACGCTATTAATAATAAATTAACAAGAAAGCGTTCTAGTAAATAGTAACAATAAAAATAGAAATAGAAACACAATGTCGATATGATGTTATCATTTCACTGCTAATATAGCACCGACGAATACAACAGACTTTGAGAGCTTTGAGTAAAATTTGGTTTAAAATGTTGCTATGTAAATAACCTTCTGGACTACCAACTTCTACTGGCTGTAGTAATCTCTGGAACATGCCATATATCCGTATATGTATTCAGCTAAATCAGAAAGGTTCAGGAAAAAATACCGAAAGAATCGATCAAATATAAACACTTTTGAAATTAAGTTACTAAGCAAATTCACGGACTTTATTCTGATGTAAACATGGAATGCAAATTCATTGAGAAGAATGCAAATACATGAATAAAAATTGAGAGGACCTATTCTGAAATTGTAAAACAAAAATTGGTAAAAATCTTTTAACCGATAATTTACTTTGTAAAAATAGTTATCTTTAGTTTTTTTTAACCTGCATAGAACTTTTTAAATTTTTCTAATCACGCAGAAACAATATTTCTATATTGAATTTTTTTCCGCGTGACAAGATCAGACCGGCGTACGCAAAAGCTTGTAGAAAATAGGTATATTCTGTAATGTTGTTACATGCTAAGGACTATGTGGAACACTCTGAAAATTCATGACTTGAAAGATCTTTAGATTTTGTATGTACATGATATTTTCCAACTTGTTTTTATCAATTTGCAGCAAAGACTCACATTTTTTAAAATTAAGTTTTACAAGTTTCTAATACAAATATCTCTATAAACAATGAAAATAAAACATCATGTATTTGCATGTATATTTCTAATACAAATGTTTAACAAATAATTTCTTAAAAATGGACGATAGTTGTTTAGAAATAACTTCTAATTAGTATCGCCACCTGCATTGTTTTACTAGTGAATTTGACTACTTGTTTTTCCATTATGCCACTGTAGATGTCATTCTTTTGATCAATAAACCTGAACCAAATTAAGTATGAATGACATGTGCGTCAAAGCCTAAAATAACTACCTGTATAAGGTATATAAGAGAGGCGAAAGATACCAAAGAGACATTCAAACTACTAAGTAAAAAAAAAACTGACAACGCCACGATAAACGAAGATAAAGACCAAAAGACAAACAGCAATAGTCAAAACACAACATAGAAAACTAAAGACTGGGCAACACGATCCCCACCTAAAACAGGGGTGATCTCAGATGCTCCGGAAGGGTATTAAGATCCTGCTCCACATGTGGCACCCGTCAAGTTTGTTATGTAAGTACAAACCCAGCTATAAGGAAACATCAACGTAATTGAGGGATCGGTTATAATATCTTATCCTTAAATTTCATTTTTTTGTTAGAAAAAACAGTACTATTGTCAGACAAAAAGAATGACTAGATATATTTGAAAGAAATAATCTGCTTTTCTGAGTTTAAAATCGACGTGAAAACACATAACCCCTTTTTTATAAAGTTATTTCTAATAAACTACACACCAAAGTGACCTGTATTTGTTTATACATCATTACAACATTTGTTTTCTTGCTTCCGTGTTTTAAAATGCAAATGCAGTTTATTTTAATGTAAATGAACAATGATTACAAACGCTTATATCTAGATAAGTGAGTTTTATTCTAGTTATATTTCTTTTTTAATCTGATTTACATACACATTACTATTGAGCTATTTGGCGTGGTTATAAAACTCATCAAGATACCAAGCTTATAACTTGGAAGCCAGACGCACGTTTCGTCTACACGAGACTCATCACTGGCGACTGAATCAAAACTGTTTCAAAGCAAAATCAAATATAACGAAGTTGAAAGGCATTACTCACCGTAAATTTCGAAAAGTTGTGCCAAACTTAATGCATTTGAAAAGAATGACCCACTTTAATTATCGGGTAAAGTGGGATATATTTCGTAAAATCTTTGTAGAAAATACTATTTTTCACGGTACATAAGTTAGATAATCCATATGTTAAGTTTTTGTTGTGAAAACAATTTGGGGCGTTTTGTAGAACAAGAAAAACTTTTAAATATGCATTAGCTATAACAGAATATATCCCAACGGTTACGTTTTGAACAATAAATACAAAGTTGCAACATGCGACGTTAACGATACAGCTTATAATTAAAAATGAAACGTTTGATATTTTTTTTCATTTTAATACAATGAACTATTAACAAACTTCACAAAAAAATTATTGAAATTCTCTAAATACCTAAGTGACAATATTTTGATATATCGGGAGATACATTTAAATATTACCATTTACAATATAAGCAATATGAGGTTCCGGTATGATAAAATGTACAGTCCTCACCTGCCGATATGGGAAAGCCTGACCTTCATCTGATGTTCGGTAGGTTTAGTAAAATAGCATCGACGAAGTGTCGTTTTGGAAGGGATATGTGCAAGGATGGTACATAAACTCTTAGTTTGTTACATATAAGGATATTTGTAGAGCAAAATGAAGAAAATCCAATGGCAGAAATTAAAACAGTCATAGTGTAGCTTTATGTAACATTGATACGTTAGAAAATTGATCTTTGCAAATATTACATATAACTTCCTGAAGCTTTATGAGCCATTGAAATACCCATCATTATTTGAATAGTAAAACTAATGATATCAGCTTTTTTTTCACATAAAAAACCTAACTCGATCGATGCGTATGTTTCCAAAATCCGAAAAATTCCACCCCTTTCTTTGGGGCTTAATTCTATTTGAGCAATACAAATTTGAAATCAAAAGTAACAACTTGTAAATATATAAAATTGTTCACAGAGACAGATTTATTAAAATGTATTGTAAAATAACAACAGCAACCTTAAAAGCTTTGTTGAGGCAATAACGGAATGAGCAAACAATGAAGAAATGTCTTATAGTCATTTAAAACAGATAATTTCCCGTTCATTTATTTAATCTGTTTTCAAATGACAAAACAAAAAACCAACAACGACCTGTTTTATAAAGACAATTTTTAACTAAGAAGAAACGCACGTCTAATGTAAATCTGATATCAAAATTACTCCCTGAAAAAACTCTTAACAACATATCTATCAATACCCACATACGCATATACCCAAATATAAAAAAGTATTAAGAACATACCAAGCTGCAAGGTAAAGTTAAAAAGGGGGAAGTCCGTGAAACCTCACAAAATCAAACGCAAGACTGTATCAACTAACTTAACGAATTGAATCCAACTGTCATTAGAGATGATCAGTCTTATGTATATTAAAAATAATGGATAGTTATAATAAAACACTAACGTACTCACTTTAGGCAAGTCATTTATAGAAGAAAAATATAAAAAATATAAAAATAGATTTACTCTTAACAACATATATATCAATACCCACATACGCATATACCCAAATATAAAAAAGTATTAAGAACATACCAAGCTGCAAGGTAAAGTTAAAAAGGGGGAAGTCCATGAAACCTCACAAAATCAAACGCAAGACTGTATCAACTAACTTAACGAATTGAATCCAACTGTCATTAGAGATGATCAGTCTTATGTATATTAAAAATAATGGATAGTTATAATAAAACATTAACGTACTCACTTTAGACAAGTCATTTATAGAAGAAAAATATAAAAATAGATTTACCTTGAAGGGAACATCCTATTTTCTATCCAATAGTGATAAAAAATTTAACTGTATTGTGTGATAACCTGTTTTACAAGGTTTTGTGTTTAAATTTATATTTATATTATGCATGACCTGAAATCTATTTTTAAATATTTTTTTTATCATAACAATTAATATTACAATTCACTGTTTCATACGTACGTCAAAATGATGTTAAGATCTGATTAAATTTTGTGTTATCTAAAAAATATTCGTGACACTGATGATCATATAAAAACTAATAAAGAATACTGATCATATTACAGTTTATGGACAGGTAAAACAAATTTTTGGTGGGTCGATAAAGTATTATTATTTGATATGACTTAATGGAAAAATGCTATTTTGCCCACAGACATAAATAATTTGCAAAATTATATTTAATAATTAAAAGTATTATGTTCAATCGAGTATAACATTTTTTTGTAGATAGAATATCATTATCATGCATCGAAATAAAACAATTACGATATACCTAAATCTTAAATCAATATAAGATATCATGCTTATAATTTTAGTGCGACAGATGAGCGTAAGTGGCTCAAATCAAAGCGGTGCAATTTTAAATTATTTAAAAAGTTGTAGAGCACAAAAAGATAATAATTAAAAATTCACAAATCAGGCTATGATCTTTTATAACGGTTTATCAAATACTGACGACGTTCGAAAAAAATCTTCAAAGACACGAGGCTTATACTGTTTAGCTAGCTATAAAACCAGGTTTAATCCACAATTTTCTACATAAGGAAATGCTTGTACCAAGTCAGGAATATGACAGTTGTTTTCCATTCGTTTGATGTGTTTGAACTTTATATTTTGACATTCAATAAGGGATTTTCCGTTTTGAATTTTCGGTATTTTTTTATTTTACATTTTATTATTTGTTTTGACAAACGCGCGTTTCGTCTGCATTATATTTATCAGTGGCGCTCAAATCTAAAGAGTTAGAAGGCAAAAACAATTATAAAGAGAGCATTGGAAAAAAAATACGAAAAGGTGTGCCAAATACGACTAAAGCCGTCTATGCTTAGGTAGAAACGCCTTCAAAAGAACTGACTTCAAATAACCAATTAGAAACCTTGATGCGATAGCTTCCTTATAAGCAGAACCCCTCTAACAAGAAAACTTTGTTTCGACTGAAACATATATACGCCGTATGAAGATGCTGTAAACATGTTGATACACAGAAAGGGAGCTTTAGCAATTGGAAAATGGAAATCCTCACTTTTGACGCAAAGTTATGCACTCAATTGAACAAAGACACCACAACTATATTCTATTCAAAATGCGGCAGACGTGCAGTTCGTCTGGAAAAGATGCGTTTGAAACAAAACATAACAAGTACATTTGAAAAAACGGTGCCAAATTATGCCTTATGGAACACCCTACCGAATATTGTTATGGTCAACAGTTAACTAGTTTTATTTAAGTGCCAATCATTCAACTGTGCTGAGATTTATGATATCTTACTGTAAATCGATGTTAAATGTGAAAAGGAGATTTTATTTTAAACGTGAATACTATTTTACTGTTCATGTGATTTCTTTAAACACTTTTTATTTGAAGACATATTAATTTTCCAGGTGAGCCAATCTCTGCTGTAGCAATTTCTACTTTGAGTGAATTACCGATGAGGAACACAATGCTATGAGGATAAAATACTTTCACATACATTTCATTGCTGCTTATTGTTTCATACACCAAATCTGTGTTAGGGGTTGTATCATGAAAGACAGTCCTCCTTTAAGATATTGAACTATTTCGACAATCGTTGCTTTAATTGCTCGATTCATAGTTCGTCGAATATCCCGAAAGAATCCATATTAAAGAACATTTGTTCATCAATATTGCCACATTTGTCTTCAAAATTACTATCACATACTACAGTACAAATAGATTATCGAACGCTAGAGTCATACTAGTCTTCGTCTGGTAAATATGTACAAGAACTTAAAAAATGTTAGTAAAGACAGTCTGCTTCCGTACACAAAATACGAATTTTTGACCACCGGTTTTCATACTACTGGGTGTCCTTGCACTTCCGTCATTAGACCTGTTCTTTGAGGATGCAAATAAAAACATCGCGCCAGTAGCCGAATGATTTTTAGCCAATTCACTATCCAATGCCCATGAAATGATATGTTTTAATATAGCTAAAATTTTAGACCACTGCTTTACAAGATTAGGCAAGTCATAGTAATTTGTCTTAATAAGATAGGCACAATTAAGTCCTCTAGAGAAAGTCACAGTTTTTCGACTGCATCCCGGAAATCTCCATGGTACTGTATATATCTACCGACTCGATGCAACTTAATCTTAAAAATACTGGCAAACCGCTAGAACAAGTACTCTTGACGTTAAATGGATTCCATGTGGATGCTTTTAGAGTATTCAATGTGTTGACCGAAATCCGTAATTAAGACAAATTGACTGCTGTAAGGAGTTTTTGATTATGGTGTTTCTCATTAATATTTAGGCAGCGGTGTGCATGTCCAAAAAACTATATTTTTGGCGGTTCTTTGTCAATTGGTTTCGGCAATCGCCTCTCCGTCATAAAAAAGACCAGGCACAGGATGGGCATTAGTTTTCTTTTGCGAAGTGCATCCATCCACTAGGAATACCGCAAATTTTAATCGAGGGGTATTACATATGTATGTCTTGTATCCGTTAAAAAAGGGTAATAATTCTATGTTGTGTGGGTGACCATTGTTTTGGAACAAATGTGCCTGCCATGTTTCACAGCTCAGCAATCGAAAATGTTGTTTTTGTTGGTTAAATGGCAAATTCACCATCTTACCTTTTGTATAATAAAAGTAACGGCAAAGAACAGTACTATTTGAGCTGTTGATAAACATTTGTTTGCTGCTACCACGCCAGTAGGAAGATAGAACGAAAACACAATTGATCGTACAGAAACAAATCTAATAATAAAAGCATGAAGCGGGAAAATAATCAGGGAACAGAATACACCACAACCTATTAATAGCACATATACATATATATGAAGAAATGGAGTAAACAAGACTATATACAGTATCAATTATGTAACAGTCAATACAATACACTTGCGCAGATATAAACCTTCATGCACATTTCCTTAAAAACACATCATAGATACCAGGATTAAAATTTTGAACGCCAGACGCGCGTTTCGTCTACAAAAGACAAGTGACGCTCGAATAAAAAAAGCTTAAACCAGAACTTAAAATACAGATGCAGAACGCCTACAATGTTGTCTTTATATAATATGCATTCATAAGACAGCGGGACTCATTTTTAAAAAATCTAAGAAGATTGCGCTGATTTTCGAACTCTTCTATGTCTGAGATATTGCTGAATGCAAACTTGGACAATAAACAGCATCACCGTAAAATAAGTATTATATCCCTTTTGTCGATCAATAATGTAAAAACAAAACCACATAAATATTAAGGGAGATATTTTCACATGTAAAAAATAAAAACAAGACTTAAATTAGTTTAAAATTTGTAAAGTAGGCTTTCTTCATTTCCCATTTCGTCATAACACTCCCCTTGCGACTCCATATCATACATCGGATTCACATTGGGCAAATCCGGCTCTGTAGCAGTAAGACAACTTAAACTACAGGAATTTTGTTTAGATTGAAATTTTGGTCTTACGGGTAAGTGTAAGTCTGCATATGGGTTTTCAAACACTACCCATGCACATTCAATGTTAGAAATAAACTGATCGTATCGTCCTTTAAATACAATTCCTCGGAAAGAATGGAAATAACCACGTTTTTGTGAGGGTGATGAAGATGACGGATATCCACCATTACTACCAAATGGGCCATTTGTACGACCATAATTCGTATTGAATGACATACTACAAGTAAGCATGCTACTTCGAAGATTTATATTTGTGATAACTTCATCCTCATCAAGTTCAAATTCATGTTCCGATATAATGGAATGACCATCTTTTGGTGGATTACCATGAACCACACTTTTCCCACTTTTATATACCACTCGTATTACTCCAAAAACAATATAGCCTTCCCATTGGGTAACCTATAAGCCAACCTTTCTAGGACGATAACTTATATCTGATATTTTTTCAAAATATCTTACGAACTTCAGATGATCTGGTGAAAAAGAGAAATATCTTATTTTAAGTCTAAAAAATAGTTAGAAAGACCTGATTTTGACACACTTTGATTCTCTAACTAAATGAACGATATGCAGAAATTACTTGTCTACTTTGTAATTACTGCTATTTTAAAATAGCGAATAAAAGGAAACGAAATGAACATGTTTAATTACCAATCAAGGTAAAAAATAAAACAAGAGGCAGACAGGCATCAAAGCGGAGAAAATTGAATAAAACAAATAAATATTTCTAAAGAGCGGGGAAAGAAACACTTTGATTATGGTCATTCTTAAGTAGGAATGAAAAGAACAAAAATCATTAATAATGCAAAAACAATATTTAAGGAAGAGGCTTTATTACTTTAAACAAATCGGACAGCATATGATATATAAGTATCCTGAAATTTTTAAGGTAACTATTAAAAAAACACCATTCCCGAACCTATTTCAAACTCCATCAAACAGGTTAACTTTACCTACAATAAAAAATCTCCAACAGAAGCTAAGCATTTCAGATAATATATTTAGAATTATTTGGTTTTCACAATCAATCAAAAGATAACAGCGAATTTCGGATTGATGGTGGTAATGGACAAATGGAATTCTGGATTGGATAGTTTACTCCCATTTAACAATTGAGTTTGTTCTCTACACTTTTGCCCAAACGTAACTTGCTTGATAACGCGCCCATCAATTTGGGAGAACAGTGAAAACTGACCAACTCTCAGTAAGTCGAACAATGTGGTAAGATTGAGTATGTAAATACATGTATGTATGTTAAGCAATAATGATTCGACCAAAATGGTTAAATAAAGGTGAATTCCCTCAAATTTGAAGTAAGATTTTTTTTTATTTTGCTTTTCGGCTTCTTACTATCTGCATCCATATCGGCTGATAGAATCATTGA